GACCCTCCTCGGGGAAGGACGGAGCGCCACGCACCTCCGCTGATCACGCTGAGACGCCAGAGGCATCGGGGAAACATTCCTATGCGTCCGTAGCTCGGCGCAGACAGTGGAGAACCGAAGGAACGCCGTGCGATGGGAGATTTTTGCAGGGACCTTTGCAGTTTTCACAAATTGGGAGGGGACGTTTTACGGCGTCTCTCAGCTAACGATACAACCGACCACCCAGGCTCCAACGCCCGTCTGATCACTGGCAGAAAACGGTCTTTAACAGAAAACTGTCTTTCCGGAGTCGTATAGCCTTGGTCTTTCCCTTATCGTGTCCTGTCCTGAGAGGGAACTTTTATTTTTATGACGACTATGGCATTGAAAATTGAGAACCAGAATAGATAAACGGAAACCGTCTAACCTCAATAGTTATGAATTTGATGTTGCGACAGTTTCCGTTTTCTAGGTCGGTGGATGTTTGCCTAAATGAGTTGAAACCAATGTTGTCTAGAGAGTGATGGACACATCCGATCTCACCGAATTGGCTTGCGGTCACAGTTTTATATCCCCGTCCCGGGAGCTACCTGAGGGGGCTGACCGGACGGGCTGTCTGACCACGACTTGGATCGGACGGGGCTCCCACAGACACACGGCTTCTGTGGCTGTCTGCGGTGCACATCACATCCTGTCTGTACCGCGAGGAGGACCGCCTGGGGCGGCTGGGGCGCTCCACCAGCCGAGGGGCACTCGTCCATCAACGGCGCGGCTACCGCACGGCGCCCGCAAAAGGCGTGACCACTGCGAAGAATCAGCAAACGGGCAACTGGTCGAATACTGACAGACAAGACGCGGGATACAGCGTGAAAAATGCACCAACGACTGGACTGCCCGTCTGCCATTGAGTATGGAGGTCGAACTGTGAGTGATGTGGCTGGAAGGGTTGGTGGGTAAGATTGGGAAATTTATGAGGAGACTGTGATCAGGGCCGGAAGAAGAGGGTTTGATTGTTTGAAGCACCACTGTCTTGACAGGCGGAGGTTGTAACAAAATTGGCGTCTCCCAGCCCCAGAATACTGGTGGTTTATATGGGTGGCTGTAGATAAGTGGAGTCCTTCCCGGCCTAATGTGACGTGAAATGGTGATTACTGGGGAAAGTCGAGGTGGAGTCGGTTTTACCAGGACGTATGGGGCATTGTGTGGACTGGTGAGGCACCAAATGTGGGTACCCAGAATGACACCTTGTAAGGATGTCTTGGCAAACACGACAAAAAAGACCTTCCTTTTATGGAAGTGTCTAAAGGCGGACATTTGGGCCATTCTGGTCGCCAAACGATATATCGGTGCTAGTAGACAAAAAAAAAACTAGTGGTGTTTTTAACACTGAGATCGCGATTCATTTTATACGCGGAATGGCCGTCCCAGTTTCTTCCCAGAAAAACTGCCTTGTCCTGATTCCAACGACCTCTTAATCACGGCAGCGCTCTCAATTGCACTGTTCTCCCACATAAAAAATAACTCATCCCCATATATCGTAACTGATTGAGCCCATAACGAAGTCAAGTGGGCGCCGCGGCACCGACAAGGTCGCGCCGCCGCCGCGGCCAAACCGCTGGACGACGCCCGCCGCCGCCGACATCCTGCTGCGGCCGCCGCCGCCGCGCCCGCCTCGCCATCAGCGCGGCACATTTACATTTTATGCGGCTCCGATAGCGCGGTGGTTCCCAGCCGGCGATCGACGTTCCCACTGCGCGGCCGGGCGGGGCGCTGCAAGGCGACCGGCCCGGCCCGCGGGTCAGCAGGTCACGGGCCGCGACCCGCAGTCAGCGCGGCCGCGGCGGCCCGGCCCGAGCTCTAGCCCACTCGGCTTCGCTTTACCCAAACTCGAACCATCCGGCGCGGCGTTAGAGGGGTGCAGCTGGCAGTTGCAGCTGAGGAATGCATGAGTTTCGGTGCATTTTGGCGGCCCGAAATTCAGAACGATGTTTGAAACTGTTTGAAACGATGTTTGCTAGACTATTGTTTTCAATGGTCTAGCAAGCTGAATGTTATTTTACCTATTAAATGCCAAAACCGCTCACAGTTTTCGATCCAAAACAGGATGACTGATCCATAAATGGTGGTCTGTAGAATGGAAGAGCATGCAATTAGGTTATGACTTATGAACGTCCTTCTTTTTCCTTAATTTGACTTCGCAAGGTATCGGCTGCTCAATTTGTAGGTTTTTGTCCTTCATTCAGTACATACGCACTGTTAATATTTTTTATTTATTATGACGTATTGTGAATGTAACGACTACTTATATCGAAGAAATCAGCACTTCAAGTTCACATTAGCCGTTTCGATAGGGCGTCAGCACTCGCACAAGCACAGCACATCAATGTGTTTGTCAAACACCGTCATCATTAACCCATTCATTTGTCTCAAGCCAAGGGACCACCTCTGTCGACGGCTCATTACCATTCCTCAAGCAATGGGGTACCGTCCTGAATGGCATCGTAATTAATTAACGGCCCTTGTGCGAAATTGCTTACGGTGCATTTGGAAGCAGGGCGAGGGTCGTTTCTCACAGTTGCCGCGTTTCTGCGTGAGCAGATGAGTGCAGAGTTGTGGATAAGATAAGTACTACTAAATACGACCGAGAGAAAAAATTAAGGGTCCCCAGAAAAAGACCGTGAATGTAGTCTGCCGAGAGAGGAAGGCCACATCACTGGCCGAAGGAGGGCTGGGGACATTGCGACTGGGTGCAGCCAGCCAAAGGATTACGGATAGGTATGTTCAGAGGACTCTGGGCATAGGAGGAGGAACGCTAAAATGCATTATGGCCACTACTTTAATACAACTCAGTGGTCTAAAGCACCAGACAAACAGGGCTGGCGGCCAAATCTGGGACGACAGAGCTCGCTAAAGGGGGCGGGAGCGACTTATGCAGATTGTGCGCGAAAGCAGAGGAGCTAACGACGTTTTCCGAGCAATAAAGTGCTAGGGACAATGTCCCAGCATTATTTCTTGGGAAACAAACAGAGTGGTCACCGGAGATGTGACAACTTTACCGCGCCTATGAAAGGCATTTCCTCTTGGCAGAGTCGCTATTTCTGTCGTTTCAAATAGTGGGTGAGAATTTGTGGAGGGAGAAAATGTCGAAATACACTTCCACTTCAATGTTTATCAGCTCTAGTTCTGTCATACAGACGTTTAGAGCCATTTGTGCTTAGTGCACTTCTCATTATCAGACCAGCTTTCATTGTACATTTTCCCAACAGTTTTTTTTCCGACAGCTTTTTATCATGAATATGCGTTTGCATGTCATTAGGAGTCGTACAGCACGTCTCATGTAGACAATTTTCGTATTCCTTAATTAAGCCACAAGGACCGCAGTGGAAAAACTCATTAATGATGCATGCACAATTCTGGAGAAGTGCCATATATGTTGCTTTTGCTAGATCTTGGTGTGCACTAGAGCATCATTACTCTATCTAAGCCAGTAATCAGAGATAATTTCTCGCCTCGAATGATAGGTACTTGAATCCAACGCAATTGCTGGAAACTTGAAGTTACCGAGATGGAAAGTTTGCCAGTAACAGTTATGAATGGCACAGTACGTCGCGAAATGGTGACAAATGTGAAAACTACGCGCCCTGAATGTTTGTGTTATGCGCCAAACAGGCTGCGTAGGGCTTTACGAAGCTCAACATAAAATGGCGGAACACATTTTATGGGTCTTTTCGTCATATAGCACATAAACACATATACAACTTGGGAGACGGGCAACAGGAGGATATTTACATATATAAAAATCAAAATGTCCGTATGTATGTATGTATGTATGTAACGCGTCAGTCACGCTTGGCGGGTTATTGCTCCGGAACGGTGCGGGCTACGGGGGTGAAATTTTGGACATAAGTCAGACGCGTGCATCTGTTTGTCGTATTAAATTTTGGTGGGGGTGGGTTGGGTGGTTTGCACGTGGCGGGTGCATCTTTGCCGCATTTTGGGCCGCGGCCGGCTTCGAGCAGACGGCACGTGCCTTAGGCTCAGATTGTTCGCTGCGAAAATGAGGGAAAACAGAGCCGGCAGGTCACTGACCTTTGGCAATGAATACCGGAACAGAGCACCGCCGGCCAAGAGGAGACGCCAAATTTATTCTGGCCATAACTCGGCCGCTACTGGGCCGATTTTATTGAAACTTGATTTATTACGCTGCACGTAATGTTGTCCCTCTTTACGCTGCGCGTAATGCTGTCCCTCTAGTTACATATATAAAAATCAAAATGTCCGTATGTATGTATGTATGTATGTAACGCGTCAGTCACGCTTGGCGGGCTATTACTCCGGAACGGTGCGGGCTACGGGGGTGAAATTTTGGACTTAAGTCGGACGCGTGCATCTGTTTGTCGTATTAAATTTTGGTGGGGGTGGGTTCGGTGGTTTGCACGTGGCGGGCGTATCTTTGCAGGATTTTGGGCCGCGGCCGGCTTCGAGCAGACGGCACGCGCCCTAGGCTCAGTTTCTTCGCTGCGAAAAGTGACATTTCTTTCTGCAATAAATAACTTTCATTTAAAAAACAGGTAGATCGGATCTTTTGAGATAAGCCCAAATTACAAATCTGACGCATCTATGACATTTCTCTACACTCACGTGATAATTGTATTATCTTTTGTGTTTCGCAATGTTTGCACCCAACCAAATATATTAGAAATTTAAAAGTATTTTGAATGTCATTTCAAGCATCATTCGGGTGATGTCATGTGATAAAATACATAGAAGTGCTCAAAACAAGTCACGTGTGCTACCAGATTCTGTGCTCAGACAGCATCGTGTCCGTTGGGCGTCAAATTAAATAAAACGAACAAATTAAAAAAGATGGTAACGCGGCAAATATGAATGTAAACAATGTTGGCGTATCTCAGTCGATTCAGCGGATTCGACCAGGATATTTATCGTGCACAAGTGTTTTGTTTTCAAGCGTGTTAAGTGATTTGCATTTTTTCGTACATGTATCCCATTAAGTAAATGTCATGCGTCGGGCGGTGTCCGCTAACGCAGCGGCCCAGCGCCGCCGTCGAGCCCGTTTGACCGAGGCGCAGCGGCAGGCTGAGGCCGAACGGAACGCGGCCCAGCAGCGAGCCCGCCGGCAGAGGGAGGCTGTACGGGAGGCCGAGGCCGCTCGCCAGCGGGAGCGCGCGGACGGCGATCGGGAGCGACAGCTGAACGCCGAAAGACAGCGCGCGTTCCGAGCCGCACAGGAGGAGGGAGCTAGGCAGGCCGAGCTGGAGGCGAACGCGGCGCGCCTCCGCCAGCGGCGGGAGGAACAGGAGGAGGCGGAGAGGCAGGCCGAGCGCGAGGCGAACGCGGCGCGCCTCCGTCAGCGGCGAGAGGAACAGGAGGAGGCGGAGAGGCAGGCCGAGCGTGAGGCCAACGCGGCGCGCCTCCGCCAGCAGCGGGAGGAACAGGAGGAGGCGGAGAGGCAGGCCGAGCGCGAGGCGAACGCGGCGCGCCTCCGCCAGCGGCGAGAGGAGCAGGAGGAGGCGGAGAGGCAGGCCGAGCTGGAGGCGAACGCGGCGCGCCTCCGCCAGCGGCGAGAGGAGCAGGAGGAGGCGGAGAGGCAGGCCGAGCTTGCCGAGGGTGCCCGGCGCCACCAGCAGCAGCGCGCTGTCGCCCGTGCGAGGCCAGCCTCGCTTGCGGCCCGCCGACCAGCGGCCGTTTTGTCCGGCGAGCAGGTGGTGGAGGCCGATAATGTCGGTGCGACGGTGAAAGTGTGTGCGTCGTGCGGAGCCCTGCGGTGGGCGGGTGAGCGCGCCACGTTCTGCTGTGCAGGCGGCAAGGTCCACCTTGACCCGCTCCCGGCCCCGCCGCCAGTCTTACGCCGCCTTTGGACTGATGACACCTTAGAGGCGCGCACCTTCCGGCAGTACGTCCGGCACCTCAACTCAGCGCTGGCCCTATCGTCTTTGTCCGTGCGTGAGGTGCCGCCGCCTGCAGGCACCGGCGGGTACGCACCGTGTGTGGTGGTGCAGGGGCGGCTGTACCACCGCATTGGACCGCTGGAAGCCCCTGGAGACCGGCCACCCTCCTTCGCCCAGATATACATAAGCGACCCGCTGGCCGAAGATCCGGAGGCTGAGGCGGCCATTCGACTCGGTCATGTGCGCCTGCCGGCAGCGACCTCTGCCGCCGTGCAGCACCGGCTGCTGGACCTGCTGGGACAGCTTCAGGCCATGCTGCGCCAAGTCAACCCCTGGGTGCAGGATTTCATCATGGCTGCCGAGGTCCTGGCACGGGAGGTGGAACACCGGCAGCTGATCATCAGCGTTGCAGCCCGACCCGCTGGCCAGCACGCGCGCCGCTACAACGCCCCCGAGGGACTGCGTGAGGTGGCTGTCCTCATGGGAGAGGAGCCCGGACAGCACGACCTGGTACTGCGCCGCCGAGCTGATGGCGGGACCGGCGTGCTGCAGACCATCGATGAGAGCCACCGAGCGTGTGACCCACTCCATTTCGTCCTCCTGTTTCCACTGGGGACTACAGGGTGGCACCCGGCGATTGCTCAGGCGCCGCAGCCCGGCAGGGAGCGGCAGCGAATGGTGACAACACTCCAGTTTTACGCATACCGGCTCCAGATCAGGCCCCACCAGGACGACAGCCTCCACCGCGCCGGTCGCCTGTTTCAAGAGTTTGTCTGTATGGCCTACGCCAAGGTCGAGGCCATCCGGCTGAAGTACATCTCCACCCACCAGCGCGAGATCCGGGCGGACCTCTACCAGAGCGTCCGTGACGCCGTGGCGGCTGACGCGGAGCTCGGCCAGCAGGAGCAGCCCGAGGAGGGACGTGAGCAGGCTGGTGTACCGGTCGTCGGGAGACGAGTCGTTCTGCCGGCTACTTTCATCGTGGACCCCGCCATATGAGGCAACGGTGAGCTACGCAAACAAACACCAATCTTAAATTACTAACCACTATTTTGTATTCGCTGAAGTCTTATTTGCACTATTACCACTCATATTAAATTTGCTTGAATGCATCATAATGCACTCAAGTCAGCATAGCAACGTTAAAAAACGAACAAACACCTGTACTCACATTTAACGAATAAGTTAGTATTCGCCAATTCATTTTTGTTTGGACTATAATCTGCCTACAGGTGCCAGGTGGTCATATTTTTGGTTCTACGACAAATGTCACTTTCAAACAACCGTCAACTTTTAGCTTTGTGTTTCGACTATTTTCTGCCCATAGTCATGCTTTTGGTTCTACGGTAAATGTTACCTTCAAACAACCATCTAATATTATCTACATTTTTTCTCAACTTTGCAGTTACATGGACGCCATGGCCATCGTGAGGGCCAAGGGGAAGCCGACCCTCTTCATTACCATCACGTGTAATCCGAAGTGGCCCGAGATCGCAAACGCCCTGTTGCCCGGACAGAAGCCCGAGGATCGACCCGACTTGGTGGCGCGAGTGTTCCACCTCAAGCTCCGCCGCATCATCGGGGACCTGACCAAGCAGGCCGTCTTCGGCAAGCCGAGCGCCTTCATGTGGGTCATCGAGTTTCAGAAGCGCGGTAAGTCACAACATGGCTTTGACAGAAATACCTGTACAGACATGAGCTCAGTCGCGGGGGGACGTGACACGCACCCCAGCAATATGCACATTTATTCCGATTTAAAGCTCACGCCTTAACGGCCAAATAAATACAATCGAAGAAGTCAACGTGAAAAAGATTTCGTCGTGTAAAGTTCATAATGCTTCGCGTTGTTTTACCTTTTGACGGCGAATATAAATTCACTTATTGTTAGACTATCCCGCAATACACGGCTGCATGGCGGGTTCCCTATAGCTTCTGTCGTATTAACGCAAATCATCTGCGACAACCAGTCGAGCTATTCCGGCCAGTACAGGAGCTGGCGTTTCCATATAATTCACTTATTGTTAGACTGTCCCGCAAGACACGGCTGCATGGCGGGTTGCCTAGCTTCTGTCGTATTAACGCAAATCATCTGCGACAATCGGTTCAGCTATACCAGTCAGAAATGCTTCGTGTCGCTTCAGCTTCCAAGGGCGAATATAAATTCATTTATTGTTAGACTATCCCGCAATACACGGCTGCATGGCGGGTTCCCTAGCTTCTGTCGTATTAACGCAAATCATCTGCGACAACCAGTCGAGCTATTCCGGCCAGTACAGGCGCTGGCGTTTCCATATAATTCACTTATTGTCAGACTGTCCCGCAAGACACGGCTGCATGGCGGGTTGCCTAGCTTCTGTCGTATTAACGCAAATCATCTGCGACAATCGGTTGAGCTATACCAGTCAGAAATGCTTCGCGTCGCTTTAGCTTCTGAGGGCGAATATAAATTCACTTATTGTTAGACTATCCCGCAATACACGACTGCATGGCGGGTTGCCTAGCTTCTGTCGTATTAACGCAAATCATCTGCGACAACCAGTCGAGCTATTCCGGCCAGTACAGGCGCTGGCGTTTCCATAAAATTCACTTATTGTTAGACTGTCCCGCAAGACACGGTTGCATGGCGGGTTGCCTATAGCTTCTGTCGTATTAACGCAAATCATCTGCGACAATCGGTTGAGCTATACCAGTCAGAAATGCTTCGTGTCGCTTCAGCTTCCGAGGGCGAAAATAAATTCATTTATTGTTACACTATCCCGCAATACACGGCTGCATGGCGGGTTGCCTAGCTTCCGTCGTATAAACGCAAATCATCTGAGACAACCAGTCGAGCTATTCCGGCCAGTACAGGCGCTGGCGTTTCCATATAATTCACTTAAATCTGAGGGCACCCATTTTGTAATATAAAGTCCGTGGCAGTGTATTAAAAACGACAAAAAACCGCTGCGTGTCGGTTTGCATACCATCTACCATACTAACGTCCCGAAGCTAAGCATCTTTAAATATCAGTCAAGCGATTCCAGGTCACACTAGAACGCATCAAAATTGTGAGTCTGACATTTTCTTTTTGTTTGCAGGCCTGCCTCACTGTCATCTCCTGCTCATCCTGCAGCCGGAGGACCGGCCTCGGACCGGCGCCGATGCGGACACGATCGTCTCGGCGGAGCTACCGGACCCCACCGAATCGCCGCAGTCGGCCCGTCTGCAGCAGATTGTCCTCACCAGCATGGTTCACAACGAGTGCGGCGCTGCTCGGCCGACCGCGACCTGCATGAAAGACGGTCAGTGCTCCAAACGGTTCCCGAAACCGCTCTCCCACGAGACCATCTGGCAGGAGGACCGAACGTACCCCCAGTACCGGAGGCGCGGACCCGAGGACGGCGGCCAGCAGGCGGAGCACAATGGGAGGCTGGTGACGAACCAGTGGGTCGTGCCCTACAATCCGCTCCTCAGCCTTCGCTACGAGTGTCACATCAACGTGGAGGTGTGCTCCTCTGTGGACGGAGTTAAGTACATTTTTATGTACATTTACAAGGGCTCCGACCGGCAGATGGTCCGCGCAGATCAGCTGATCGAGGCCGGTCAGGACGAGGTGGCAGCCTTCCGAGACCTCCGCTCCATTGGTGCGAGCGAAGCATGCTGGCGGCTGTTCAGCTTCGAGATGAGCGACCGGTCACCAGCGGTGCTGGCGCTACAAGTTCATCTCGAAGACCATCAGCTGATCTTCTTCCAGCCTGGGGAGGAGCGGCAGGCAGTGGCTGGGGAGCCGCGCCACACGCAGCTGACTGCCTGGATGACCTACAACCGGGCGTCGGCCGGCGAGGACCCCGAGTGCCTCCGGGTGCTCTACCCGGATTTCCCCCAGAAGTACCGCTGGGACGCCGGCCAGAAGCGGTGGCACCGGCGCCGCAACATGCAGGCGGCGCCCACCATCGGCCGGGTGGTGAGTCTCACACCCAGGCACGGGGATGTATTCTACCTCCGGGTATTGCTGCATCACGTCCCCGGCGCCACGACATTCGCCGATCTGCGCACGGTGGACGGCCAGGTGTGCGACACACACCAAGAGGCGTGTCGGCGGCGTGGCCTGCTCCAGGACGACCAGGAGTGGGCGGAGACGCTGGCTGAGGCCGTCCGCACCCAGCGCCCCGGCCAGCTCAGGCAGCTGTTTGTGGTGGTGCTGCTATTTTGCGCGCCGGCCGATCCCGCAACCCTCCTCCACCGGTTTCAGGCAGCAATGGGAGAAGACATCGCCCGCCGCCACCCAGAGCTGCCGCCGGAGACGGTGACGGGACTGGTGCTACTGCGCATCAGCGACTCCCTCCAGCGGGCCGGCAAGACGCTGGAGGACTTCGGCCTGCCGCCCGTGCCAGCTGAACACCAAGCAGCGGCCGCCGCCTTGGAGGGAGCCGAGGAGCTGCGGCGCCTGCCTCCCATTATACGGGAGGAGGTCGACTTCGACCGTGCCGACCTTCAGCACACCGTCGACCAGCGGCTGCCAGGCCTACTGCCGGATCAGCGCCAGGCGGTGGACACGGTGCTGGCCGCGGTTGACGGCCAGGAGCCGCTCGCCCTATTCTTGGACGCACCAGGTGGCACTGGCAAAACATTTACCTTTAATCTGCTCATCTCTGCGGTGCGAGCCAAGGGCCTGGTGGCACTTGCCGTGGCGTTCAGCGGTATCGCCGCTACACTGCTGGACGGCGGGAGGACTTTTCACAGCCGTTTTAAAGCTCCTCTGCGACCGGACGACACCGTCATCTTCAACATCTCCGCCCAGAGCGAGCTCGCCCAGCTGATCCGGTTAGCGCGCCTCATCGTGATGGATGAGGCTCCGATGGCGCACCGGCATCACATCGAGGGCCTCGACCGGACGCTGCGCGACCTGACGGGGTCCGATCAGCTGTTCGGCGGCAAGGTGGCGGTGCTGGGCGGCGACTTCCGGCAGGTTCTGCCTGTCGTCCGGCACGCCAACCAGGCAGGCATCGTGGACGCCAGTCTCCGTCGCTCGCCGCTGTGGCGCCACTTCAGAGTACACCGGCTGCGGGAAAACATGCGCGCCAGGCTGGCGCAGGAGGAGAACCAACAGGCCGAGCTGGAGGAGTTCTCCACCTGGCTGCTGCAGCTCGGCAACGGCGAGCTTCCCACAGACGCCGAGGGACGGGTCACCCTGCCGCCGGCGCTGGTGCTGGAAGCCGAATTGCCGGCCGTCATCGACTGGACCTTCGGCAACCTGACCGACGCCGATAGCATGGCGTCCCGCGCCGTGCTGGCGCCCACTAACAGCACCGTCGACTCGGTGAACAGTTATGTCACCGACATCTTCCCGGGCCAGGCCGTGGAGTGCCTCAGCGCAGACGCCACCGTCGGGGAGGAGCAGGAGCCGGTACCCCAGGAGTACCTCAACGGGCTGTGTGTGCCAGGCCTCCCGCCTCATCACCTGCTTTTGAAGCCCGGCATGCCAGTCATCCTGCTCCGAAACATCGACCCGGCCAGGGGACTGTGTAACGGCACCCGGCTCCTGGTGGTGGCCGTCCACGGCGGCCGGCTCCTGGAGGCGACCGTGGCCTGCGGCAGCGCGGCCGGCCGCCAGGTTCTCATCCCCCGCCTGACGCTGCAGCCGCCGGACGACGCCTTCCCGTTCGAGTGGCGGCGGCGCCAGTTCCCGGTGCGGCCCGCCTTTGCGCTCACAATCAACAAAGCGCAAGGTCAGACGCTCCGGCGGGTGGCCGTCCTTCTGCGAGAGCCCGTGTTCGGCCACGGACAGCTCTATGTTGCCGCGTCCAGGGTCGGCCGCTGGCGGGACCTGCGCTTCGTCCTGCCGCCGGGCAGCGGTGGACGGACCGCCAACGTCGTCTACCGGGACGTGCTGTGAGCCGGCAGGACACCGCCCAGTTTCTCTACCCGCAGGCATCGGTTACGCTTTGAACCACCTGCGGGGTCTCTTTTCTGTTAAAAAGAGATCCATCTGCAATTCATTGTGGCCGCCTCCTCGTGGCGATTGTGGGTAACGCTAAGAGCCACACAAAGCACAGGTGAGATTTGATTTACGAAATGTTATACGCCATTACCCAATTTTCACTATTGTACCTAATTACTTCAGTCCAGCTGGATTTGCTAATTGCGATTCACTCACAACTTAGTACCTGTGCCTGAAACGTGACTATGCCTGAAACGTTATTATAAACATAACCTATATGTAGTAAATTATTTGAACTACATATCCAAGTAGCTTATCAGTCTGAATTGGTTAGGTCAATGACCCATTTATTTGAATTGTATCCATTTGGACCGCATCATTCATCTTTTCGCGTACATCAAGGCTTCTAGAAGTCACTATTACACAAAACCATTACTACTCGAACTGGCCAATTATGCGCAAGCCATATCCTCGCGACGCGAAGCAAGCGGCTTGCCGCTTGTCACATATATAAAAATCAAAATGTCTGTACGTATGTATGTATGTATGTATGTAACGCGTCAGTCACGCTTGGCGGGCTATTGCTCGGGAACGGTGCGGGCTACGGAGGTGAAATTTTCGCGCCGAGTCGGACGCGTGCTTCTGTTTGTTGTATCAAATTTTGGTGGGGGTGCGCTCGCCGGTTTGCACGTGGCGGGCGCATCTTTGCGGGATTTGGGGCCGCGGCCGTCGCCGATCAGAGAGCACGCGCATTAGCCTCAGTTTCTTCGCTGCAAAACTGAGCGAAATCAGAGCCGGAAGGTCACTGACCTTTGGCAATGAATACCGGAACAGAGCACCGCCGGCCAGGAGGAGACGCCAAATTTATTCTGGCCATAACTCGGCCGCTACTGGGCCGATTTTAATCAAAATTGATTCATTACGCTGCGCGTAATGCTGTCCCTCTTTACGCTGCGCGTAATGCTGTCCCTCTAGTTACATATATAAAAATCAAAATGTCCGTATGTATGTATGTATGTATGTAACGCGTCAGTCACGCTTGGCGGGCTATTACTCCGGAACGGTGCGGGCTACGGGGGTGAAATTTTGGACTTAAGTCGGACGCGTGCATCTGTTTGTCGTATTAAATTTTGGTGGGGGTGGGTTCGGTGGTTTGCACGTGGCGGGCGTATCTTTGCAGGATTTTGGGCCGCGGCCGGCTTCGAGCAGACGGCACGCGCCCTAGGCTCAGTTTCTTCGCTGCGAAAAGTGACATTTCTTTCTGCAATAAATAACTTTCATTTAAAAAACAGGTAGATCGGATCTTTTGAGATAAGCCCAAATTACAAATCTGACGCATCTATGACATTTCTCTACACTCACGTGATAATTGTATTATCTTTTGTGTTTCGCAATGTTTGCACCCAACCAAATATATTAGAAATTTAAAAGTATTTTGAATGTCATTTCAAGCATCATTCGGGTGATGTCATGTGATAAAATACATAGAAGTGCTCAAAACAAGTCACGTGTGCTACCAGATTCTGTGCTCAGACAGCATCGTGTCCGTTGGGCGTCAAATTAAATAAAACGAACAAATTAAAAAAGATGGTAACGCGGCAAATATGAATGTAAACAATGTTGGCGTATCTCAGTCGATTCAGCGGATTCGACCAGGATATTTATCGTGCACAAGTGTTTTGTTTTCAAGCGTGTTAAGTGATTTGCATTTTTTCGTACATGTATCCCATTAAGTAAATGTCATGCGTCGGGCGGTGTCCGCTAACGCAGCGGCCCAGCGCCGCCGTCGAGCCCGTTTGACCGAGGCGCAGCGGCAGGCTGAGGCCGAACGGAACGCGGCCCAGCAGCGAGCCCGCCGGCAGAGGGAGGCTGTACGGGAGGCCGAGGCCGCTCGCCAGCGGGAGCGCGCGGACGGCGATCGGGAGCGACAGCTGAACGCCGAAAGACAGCGCGCGTTCCGAGCCGCACAGGAGGAGGGAGCTAGGCAGGCCGAGCTGGAGGCGAACGCGGCGCGCCTCCGCCAGCGGCGGGAGGAACAGGAGGAGGCGGAGAGGCAGGCCGAGCGCGAGGCGAACGCGGCGCGCCTCCGTCAGCGGCGAGAGGAACAGGAGGAGGCGGAGAGGCAGGCCGAGCGTGAGGCCAACGCGGCGCGCCTCCGCCAGCAGCGGGAGGAACAGGAGGAGGCGGAGAGGCAGGCCGAGCGCGAGGCGAACGCGGCGCGCCTCCGCCAGCGGCGAGAGGAGCAGGAGGAGGCGGAGAGGCAGGCCGAGCTGGAGGCGAACGCGGCGCGCCTCCGCCAGCGGCGAGAGGAGCAGGAGGAGGCGGAGAGGCAGGCCGAGCTTGCCGAGGGTGCCCGGCGCCACCAGCAGCAGCGCGCTGTCGCCCGTGCGAGGCCAGCCTCGCTTGCGGCCCGCCGACCAGCGGCCGTTTTGTCCGGCGAGCAGGTGGTGGAGGCCGATAATGTCGGTGCGACGGTGAAAGTGTGTGCGTCGTGCGGAGCCCTGCGGTGGGCGGGTGAGCGCGCCACGTTCTGCTGTGCAGGCGGCAAGGTCCACCTTGACCCGCTCCCGGCCCCGCCGCCAGTCTTACGCCGCCTTTGGACTGATGACACCTTAGAGGCGCGCACCTTCCGGCAGTACGTCCGGCACCTCAACTCAGCGCTGGCCCTATCGTCTTTGTCCGTGCGTGAGGTGCCGCCGCCTGCAGGCACCGGCGGGTACGCACCGTGTGTGGTGGTGCAGGGGCGGCTGTACCACCGCATTGGACCGCTGGAAGCCCCTGGAGACCGGCCACCCTCCTTCGCCCAGATATACATAAGCGACCCGCTGGCCGAAGATCCGGAGGCTGAGGCGGCCATTCGACTCGGTCATGTGCGCCTGCCGGCAGCGACCTCTGCCGCCGTGCAGCACCGGCTGCTGGACCTGCTGGGACAGCTTCAGGCCATGCTGCGCCAAGTCAACCCCTGGGTGCAGGATTTCATCATGGCTGCCGAGGTCCTGGCACGGGAGGTGGAACACCGGCAGCTGATCATCAGCGTTGCAGCCCGACCCGCTGGCCAGCACGCGCGCCGCTACAACGCCCCCGAGGGACTGCGTGAGGTGGCTGTCCTCATGGGAGAGGAGCCCGGACAGCACGACCTGGTACTGCGCCGCCGAGCTGATGGCGGGACCGGCGTGCTGCAGACCATCGATGAGAGCCACCGAGCGTGTGACCCACTCCATTTCGTCCTCCTGTTTCCACTGGGGACTACAGGGTGGCACCCGGCGATTGCTCAGGCGCCGCAGCCCGGCAGGGAGCGGCAGCGAATGGTGACAACACTCCAGTTTTACGCATACCGGCTCCAGATCAGGCCCCACCAGGACGACAGCCTCCACCGCGCCGGTCGCCTGTTTCAAGAGTTTGTCTGTATGGCCTACGCCAAGGTCGAGGCCATCCGGCTGAAGTACATCTCCACCCACCAGCGCGAGATCCGGGCGGACCTCTACCAGAGCGTCCGTGACGCCGTGGCGGCTGACGCGGAGCTCGGCCAGCAGGAGCAGCCCGAGGAGGGACGTGAGCAGGCTGGTGTACCGGTCGTCGGGAGACGAGTCGTTCTGCCGGCTACTTTCATCGTGGACCCCGCCATATGAGGCAACGGTGAGCTACGCAAACAAACACCAATCTTAAATTACTAACCACTATTTTGTATTCGCTGAAGTCTTATTTGCACTATTACCACTCATATTAAATTTGCTTGAATGCATCATAATGCACTCAAGTCAGCATAGCAACGTTAAAAAACGAACAAACACCTGTACTCACATTTAACGAATAAGTTAGTATTCGCCAATTCATTTTTGTTTGGACTATAATCTGCCTACAGGTGCCAGGTGGTCATATTTTTGGTTCTACGACAAATGTCACTTTCAAACAACCGTCAACTTTTAGCTTTGTGTTTCGACTATTTTCTGCCCATAGTCATGCTTTTGGTTCTACGGTAAATGTTACCTTCAAACAACCATCTAATATTATCTACATTTTTTCTCAACTTTGCAGTTACATGGACGCCATGGCCATCGTGAGGGCCAAGGGGAAGCCGACCCTCTTCATTACCATCACGTGTAATCCGAAGTGGCCCGAGATCGCAAACGCCCTGTTGCCCGGACAGAAGCCCGAGGATCGACCCGACTTGGTGGCGCGAGTGTTCCACCTCAAGCTCCGCCGCATCATCGGGGACCTGACCAAGCAGGCCGTCTTCGGCAAGCCGAGCGCCTTCATGTGGGTCATCGAGTTTCAGAAGCGCGGTAAGTCACAACATGGCTTTGACAGAAATACCTGTACAGACATGAGCTCAGTCGCGGGGGGACGTGACACGCACCCCAGCAATATGCACATTTATTCCGATTTAAAGCTCACGCCTTAACGGCCAAATAAATACAATCGAAGAAGTCAACGTGAAAAAGATTTCGTCGTGTAAAGTTCATAATGCTTCGCGTTGTTTTACCTTTTGACGGCGAATATAAATTCACTTATTGTTAGACTATCCCGCAATACACGGCTGCATGGCGGGTTCCCTATAGCTTCTGTCGTATTAACGCAAATCATCTGCGACAACCAGTCGAGCTATTCCGGCCAGTACAGGAGCTGGCGTTTCCATATAATTCACTTATTGTTAGACTGTCCCGCAAGACACGGCTGCATGGCGGGTTGCCTAGCTTCTGTCGTATTAACGCAAATCATCTGCGACAATCGGTTCAGCTATACCAGTCAGAAATGCTTCGTGTCGCTTCAGCTTCCAAGGGCGAATATAAATTCATTTATTGTTAGACTATCCCGCAATACACGGCTGCATGGCGGGTTCCCTAGCTTCTGTCGTATTAACGCAAATCATCTGCGACAACCAGTCGAGCTATTCCGGCCAGTACAGGCGCTGGCGTTTCCATATAATTCACTTATTGTCAGACTGTCCCGCAAGA